ACCAGTACACCTGCTTCCGAGGCGGGATAGGTCTCGCCCGCTGCATCGCCGCGTCGCAGACGCGAGTCAGCGCTCCAGCGAGTCGCTCGCATCTCGCGTCCACGTCCTGGCCGCTTTCGACGGCAGCCCATCGCTCGACGATAGCCGCCTCTCGGGCTAGCTCTCGGTCCAACGTTCCGAGCCGCCACCGCGGACCTTCCCCTACCACGGGGCGGTCCAGTGCCACACGAGTAGCCGAGGCAGCAGGGACGACGTCGAATCGGATGTACCGATGGTCCGACGAAGTCTCCACCCCCTCGACCACCCGCCAGTTGTGTATGTGAGGGGCCAGGCCGGAACTCGCGAAAGAAAGATCGACTATGGATCCGGCCTGGGCCCTCACAAACGTGTGGACCGACCCTCGGTTCAGCAGCACCAAGCCTTGGGACACCGCCCACTCCTCCACCATTTCCCCTCGGCTATCGGTCGCCGGGGATCCCCACGCCCGTGAGTGAGCGTTGAAATCCCCGGCCACCACAGCCGGGGTGGGGTGCACTTCCGCCACCAGAGCCCCGACCTCCGTGAGCAACTGCTCGAACTCGGCGAGGCTTCTGCTAGGCGGACAGTACACCCCAACTACTGCAGCGCCGCCCAACGCGACGAGTACGCATCCTCGGCCCCTCCGCACTCTGTCGAAGGGAGGAGCCGTTCGCTGGGCGACGATAGCCACCGAGCCGTCGTGGTCGCTGGCCCAATTGGGGCCGTCGCGAACGTAGTACGGCTCGGCGACTACTGCCACTGTCGTCTGCCACTGTGCCATGGATTGGGCCAGAAGGTCCTGAGCCGTGACGCAGTGGTTGACGTTGGCCTGCAGTATGGAGATTGGGGGCCATTATGTTTGGGCGGTGTCCATTACCTCCTCATTTTGCGGCAGGGTGGGCGATTGTGTGGGTTTCGCCCCCCCTGCAGCTCTCTTGCGGCCCCTGTTGCGGGAGGCCGCCTTGCAGTCGGCCGTCCCAAGCCGGTGGCCGGACGCTGCACCCTCCGCCGAACAGACGGGGCAGCTGGGCTCCGCTGAGCAGGTGGCCGACTTGTGGCCGGCCTGCCCGCACCGGAAGCAGAGCGCACTGCGGTCTGTGGCCACAGTGCACCTGGCCCCGACGTGCCCCGGCTCGAGGCAGCGGAAGCACCGCACCGGCCTGGGCTCCAGGGTGGTCAGCTTGACCACTGACCACCCGACGACGATGCGGCGACCATCAGTCAGCTTTCTGGCCGCCTCAACAGGGCACCGCAACCAGGCAGTGCCCTGTCGGCCAGATGGGCGACTGATGTCGCCGACCGTTATGGCGTCGGCAGAGCAGCCCCCCTCTGCTGCCAGCGACGCCGCCACCGTCTCTTTAGAGGCCGAGTCGCTCAGGCCAGAGATGCGCATCTCCACGCATCTCTGCGGCCTAGCGACTCGGACCTCCTCGAGCACCTCCCTGAGCCTCGCAGCCAGTTGATCGGCTTTCTGGGCTCTATCGGCGCCAGCCACCTCCAGGATCCGACCTCCGGTTACGGCGGTGCGGAGCCGGAGGCCGTCGATCCCCAGAGCCTTGAGGTCTATTGACCTCTCGGCTTTGGACATGACCTGCCCGTAGGTCACGCCCTGCTCCGCGGCGCCCGGCTGCAGCGTGAGTGTGATCGCTGCAGTCTGTGGGGTGCGCAGTTTGCGGGACCCCCGGGCGCCACGTTTCTTCTTCTTGGCTGGCGCCGCTGGAGTGGCAGCGGTCGGAGCAGCCGACCGGACTGGGGCCGGTTTAGGCGCCTTTGGCTTGGCCGCCTTCGGCCTAGCCGCCACTTCGCTCCATGTCCCCCTTTGCGGGAGCGGGGCGGGGGCCAGCGAGGAAGCCGACGGGGGCGACTGCCGCGACTGTCGGGCAGCCTCCGCCTCCTTTGCCGCAGCAGTCTTCTTCACCGTCTTCTTCCTCTTCTTTTTCTGCTCCCCCGATGGCCCGGGGGGGCACGCCCCTATCTCCTCCTGCCCGTCTGGCATTGGAGGAGAGAGGGGGAGAGGCCTCGGGGGAGACGCCTGAGGCACGGGCTCAGGTCCGCTGGCGGACTGGGCCGCCTTTCTCCTGTCCGCCTGTAGAGGCGGACGGATGCGGGTCTCCGGCAGCAGGCGGTCAGCGATCCCCGCGAGTCGCGCGTCGATGAGAAAGCCTATCTCATCGCGGCTCATCGCGGGCGGAGCAGCCTCCGCCTGCTGCTTCATGGCCCTCATTTCGGCCCGTACTGCAGCCAGCTCGGCCTGCAGCTGGGCCACCTCCTCTGATTCCGTGCGGGACATGAGCGCGCGCACGTTCTCCAAGATGGAGTTGCACGCGTTCTTGAGGTCCCGCACGTATTGGCCCTTCAGATTGGAGCTCTTGGTGGCGATGGTTTGAACCATCGTCACCGCCGCCTCGATGGAGCCCGAAAGCTGCTCCGCACTGAGGGATTGATTGGCCGAGGATGCCAATCCCGCTTGGGGCTGCGGACTGGGCTGGGGCAGCGGACACAGAGCCCTCTGCCGCTGCTGTCGCAGCTCCTCCGCAAGCTCCTCCTCAGCGCGGAGCTCGAGCTCCCGCTCCTTGGCCGCGTTCAGCTCGGCCTTGGCCCTAGCCAGGTTGACATATTCCCCCGTTTTCGGGGGACGGCCACGACTCCTCTTAGGGCTTTCGCTGCGCGAATCGCCCTCGCTTGGCGAATCCAACTCTGTAGCAGAGTTGGTTCGCTTGCGCCAGAATCTTCCCCTTGCTGGGGAAGACGAGCGCGAACCTCCAGGAGTGCTGGTAGCGTCCATCCGCTCCAGCACCACCACCGGCACCACCTCTCTGAGAGAGACAGGAGACCTTGCGGTCTCCGTCTCCATCTCCTTCTCCACTCCTACTACGTCAACAGTATTTATTTTATTAATTGAAACCATCCATATCATATCCCACGAGTATGAGACGAAAAAAGTACACTTCCCGGGTGACGCTCATTCCAGGAAGCGGGGTACATACTATGGAGGTCCCCCGGTATCCATAGGTTTTAACGACTTAGCTGTCGGGTTTTAAAGTCTTTTCCTTGACACAGGCCGGCCAATGAAGGCAAGCCCCACGTCCTCCGAGGTCACGGCGTTCCTGAGTGTGGCTAGCACTCAAGTTTATATGTCGATCACCCGGAGATTACGCGACGCAGGAGGGAAGCCAACTCTCCCAACTCCGACGGTGGCACGAGTGCCTGTCTGCCCCTGCGCGAGCAGTGGGTCGACCCGTCCCTAAATCCCTAAGGGATTACAACGTTCCTCCCAGTATCCCCCCGAAAAGCAGAGGGATACTATGAGGAACGGCGAGCCCTGAAAAGGGCTTTTGTATCCCTACAGATCCCTCCCCGCAGGCCTTGCAGGCCCGCCATCCCACGACCCCCTCGTGCAATGGGGTCAGCTAGCCCTGAGCCGGGCTAAATCCCTAAGGGATTACAACGTTCCTCCCAGCATCCCCCCGAAAAGCAGAGGGATACTGGGAGGAACGGCGAGCCCTGAAAAGGGCTGTTGTATCCCTACGGACCCCCCCCCCCCCGCGGGCCTTGCAGGCCCGCCATCCCACGACCCCCTCGTGCAATGGGGTCAGCTAGCCCTGAAAAGGGCTGTCGGGTTATCGGTCAATCGGCTAACATACAGAGCTCTGTGACAGAGACAGTGTCTATTAACCGTTGTCCAGGGTGCACCAGTCCCTCGCTTCCGCTCCCGAGGACCGCAGTCCAACGGGGGAAGAAACGAAGAAGCCAACATGGAGGTTACCCGACCCGCACCCCAAGGCCGCACCCCAGGTTAGGTTAGGTTAGGTTAGGTTAGGTTAGGTTTTTTTTTTTTTTTTTTTTTTTTTTTTTTTTTTTTTTTTTTTTTTTTTTTTTTTTTTTTATCGCTTTTCCCCGATCATAAATAGGGTCCTTATTAAACTACATATATCTATGCTAGTATATCTATACTACCCACACTATCTTATGTAGAGTGGGATTTCCCTTACTCTGCGCATGTGTTGGCTAATTTACAATTTTAACTTCTTATTTACAGCTTTCTGTAAATATCTATCTATTTATACTTGTTGTATTTTTATATTATTAGTTTCTAACATTTTACTGACAAGTGTTTCCTGCTTGTTTTATGTATTTATTTATCTATTTACTTATACAATTCTTTTACTGTTCTATTTATACTTATACTTTTCACTCTTACATTCATATTCTTAGGTCTATTGTTATTGCTATAGTTCTTACAATATATATTACATTATATTTACAACATATAGTCTTGCTTATCTTTTTACTGTTTTTTTTTTTTTTTTTTTTTTTTTTTTTTTTTTTTTTTTTTTTTTTTTTTTTTTTTTTTTTTTTCTTTTTTTTTTTTTTGCTATTTCTGTCTTGTCTCAGTTGTTTTAATACAGTAAGTACTTCATTGATGTATTACATTACTTTGTAAATGTATTGCTTTGTTTAGCTGTTTTAACTGTTTTAGCTCTTTTGACATTTCAGCAGGATATGTGAGTTTATGTGTGCCTGACTGTGCACTTCTCTTACATATTTTAGACATCCATGTATCTAGGCAATAAGATATATATACTTAATTCTATACATATTTATTGTCCGTTCTTTTGCTAATTTTTCATTTTATACTTGTTTTACTTTGTGTTTGTGTTTCTGTTTGTAGTCCGTGTAAATGTTTTGTGCTGATATATATTTATGTATGCTCACTATACATTCTATATATCGTTTTGTACGTGTTGTCATGTATTACGTGTTTATATGTGTCGCGTTTATATTTGTGTGTGTTGTGGCTGTGTGTGCGCGTTTGTGGTTCGTGTAAATGTTTTGTGCTGATATATTCGTGTATGTTCACAATACCTTCTATATATCGATTTGTGTTCGTGTTATCATGTGTTTCATGTTTGTGTGTGTCGAGTTTATGTTTCTGTGTGTTGTAGCTGTGTGTACATGTTGTGTGGTTTCCTGCATGTGTATCATGCGTAGGCCGTGTTAGCTCGAGCCAGGTAGTCCCACTTTTTTCGTACTGGGCAATCGACACTGAAGGCGTTGTGGTCGGTTTTTTGCAACCCAGAGTGCGAGCAGTTGCAGCACCGCGGTTCATTTCCTGCGGTGAGATCTGCGCATCTTTCGCGCAGATGCGGTCCTCCGCAGTGACTGCATCTGTCCGCACCCTCGGTGCAAAATTTACGGCCATGTCCAAATGCTAAGCACCGAGTGCATTGTATTAACGGAGACTGGTCCTCGACTCTGACCCTTTGGAGGTCGAGATAGAGGGCCCCAGCCTCCGTCATCCTCCGCCATACGCTAGGCCGCACCTGGAGGATGATGTGCACCGTCTTTGGATTCCTAGTTCGTTTTTTAAATTTGATGTCCACTTTTATTTCCTCTTCCGATAGACCTTCAAAAACTTCCTTGTTCTGGGCATAGAGTGCCGTAATTAGGTCTTGGTCTTCGCTATCTATATATATGTCTTTTAGGATGACAAGAGGATTTTTATTTTGCATGGGTGTTACTTTTAATCCGTTGCCACGTTTCTCTATAATTTTTTGCACTTTATTTCTTTCCTCCTCAGTGTCGCAGCCCAGTATAACTGTTTGATTCTTTGCCTTTCTGACCTTACTTATTTTAAGGCCGGTACCTCTCGCGTCGACCGCCTTCTTCACCCTTGAGAGGACCTCATCCGCGGTCTCCTCTCCGCCCTCAAGGGTGACCGCCACCGAATGGAGTGCGGGGCGGTGGGCGGGTTTGGTTGCAGCGGCGCTGGCGTATGTTTTAAGGACTGGTACTGGGGCTTGGTTCGCACTCATCAGTCCTTTTGTGGCCTCAGCGATTTCGTTCTTGGCCGCCACGACATCCTCGGCAATACCGCCGACCAGGCTCTTGAAGTGATCGTACATTTGGCTCCCGAACTCTTTTCCGACCTCCACGGTCGTGTGGTCAATAGCCGCCCTAGTCTCCTCGAGCCTGTCGCCGATCCCGCCGAGCAAGTCGGAGTTTCGTTCGTCGGCGCTTACTTCAAGACCTTGTAGGTCTTCCTGGATGGTCTGCTCCATTTGTTTGATGCGTTCCGTCAGCGCCGCCTCCATCTCTTCCAGTCTCTTAAGGACGTCCTCATGCCCATCGGACGACGCGGTCCTTGAGGGCGCCCTAGCTGCCTGGCCTTCCGATTCGAGTTTCGCAATGCGTGCGCTAAGTTCGAATAGTGCTCGATGTCCGTTATCGGACTGCTCCTCCAGGAACTGTTTTATATCCTTTCGCATCTGAGGGTATTGTTGAACCCTTGAGGGAATCTCTTCAAATATACACAACAGTTGCCGGAGGAGCTGATCGCTCGATTGTGCAGCGTAAGTTTGCAGCCGCTTTTTATATAGCTCCATATTTTCGAGCGATCTCCGTTTTGTATTTGGCCTGCGGATGAAAGTCTTGGCAGCGTCCTGCACTACAGTTGCGGTAGTGGGACTGGGGGTGATGGGCGTAGTAGGCTTTCTGGCTGTGCCTGAGGTCGCGGGTGTGCGATAAGTACTCATTGTGAGTGTGTGCGTAGGTGTCGGGGAAAATTGTCAATGTGTAAAAAAATAAAAATAAAAATTTCAGACCCTGTAAAGGGGGGTCTGTGTCTGGTGTAATTAAAGTGTAAAACAAAGTATAAAACAAAACAGGTCCAAAATTATCAATTATGGTCAATATACACAGACAAAGAACGCAAAAAACACAAAAATCTTATATTTACAAATTAATTTTAGATAAATAGAGTGGTGGGCAGGAGTATGCCCAGTCCTGAATACCTATACTAACTTAAAGTAGCAAAAATGCTACTTTTGTTCTTAACTATAAAGTAGCCTGCACAGCAGGGTTGTCGAAACACAAATAAATAAGTTGATGTAAAGAGTAAAATAAAATAAAATGACAAATCTGTCAGAGCCAATCAACTGAGCTCCCCGAGCTGGTTAAAATGAGCCCAAACTCGGGGGGTCCAGGTGCCCTGGGGGCAAAGTTAGGAATGGGGGAGGACGGGGGGCTGGTTATTGAGGGGAGGGGAGAAACTGTCACGGCCACTCGACCGGGCTCCCCGAGCTGATTCAAACGAACCCAAACTCGGGGGGTCCAGGCGCCCTGGGGGCAGAGTTAGGAATAGGGAAAGTGAGGTAGGGGGGGAGAGAGAAACTGTCGGGGCCAATCAGCTGGGCTCCCCGAGCCGGTTAAAAAGAGCCCAAACTCGGGGGTCCAGAAGCCCCAGGAACAGAGTTGAGGAGAGGGGGGGTGAGGTAAAAAAGTGGAGGGGAGAGGGGGGAGGTTTTCGTGGGGTGGCGTTTGGTATGGTCGGCGTAAACTGCCACGGCCAATGTGTTTGTGACCCCCTGGCGGTTCAAATGAGCCTAAACACGGGGGGTCTGAGTGCCCCAGGGACGGGGTAGGGGGAAGGGGGGTGAGGTAAGGTGAGGGAGGGAAGCTACTGGGCCTCCCGGGCTGGTTCAAACAAACCCAAACTCGGGGGGTCCAGGTGCTCTGGGGACAAGTTGGAAAGGAGGGCGGGTAAGGTAAGGGGTGAGGGGGGGAAGCTACTGGGCCTCCCGGGCTGGTCCAAAAAAGCCCAAACTCGGGGGGTCCAGGTGCTCTGGGGACAAAGTTGGAAAGGAGGGGGGCTGAGGTAAGGGGAAGGGTAAATTAGGTTCACGGGATAGAACGTCTGGGCCTCCCCTGCCGGTTCAAACGAACACGAACACGGGGGGGTCCAGGTGCTCCAGGGACAGGTTGGTATTAGGGGGGTGAGGTAAGGGGAGGGGTGGGGTAAGGGTGCAGACACGGCAGGTCAGCTGGGCTCCCCGAGCCGATTCAGATGAGTCTAAACTCGGGGGGTCCAGGCGCCCCGGGGACGGAGTTAGGGGGGGGTCTGGTTAGAGGGGGTGAGGTGAGGGGTGGAGGGGGGGATAGGGACTGGGGGGTTAGTCTACTGGGCTCCACGAGCCGGCTCGAATGAACCCAATCTCGGGGGGTCCAGAAGGTCCAGGAACAATGTTAGGAGGGGGGGGGTGAGGTATGGGGGTAGGGTAGGTGGTAAGGGTGATATGCTCAACACAGTTTAATAAAATAAGGTCTTACAATTACTAAATAAAATAAAATAAAAAATCCGGGAATCGAACCCCTTACAAATAATGTATACTATTAAAATAACATATACCAAGATAAAAAGTGAAGCTACTCGTTCCGGAGTATTGTGTGCAATGACAGACTAACACTTCTTATCTATAGTGATAAGATTCGAGTTCCCTCAAAGTCCGCCTGAGGGCGTTCCCGCTGCAGTCAGATTTTGTGCAAATTTTATCTAAAGTCGTGTTATAACACCGGGATCGACCCCCTGGCTGTATTTTATATATTTCTAGGGAAAACTATTTCCTGTTTTGTTTAAAAATTTAAAAATAGGCAGTGCACACCAACACTCAGACCAGAGAACACAATTCTATCCAGTTTATAATAAAAAAAAAAAAAAAAAAAAAAAAAAAAAAAAAAAAAAAAAAAAATTAAAAGTAATAGTCGGAATCGAACCCGTCACAACTTTTATATGGGGTTTTACGCCAACAATAGTGAAGCTATTGTGCAAAATACTCCCACAATTATGACGAGATCGGCCCCCAGGTTTAACTTTAGAAATTTAAAAATTTTGCACGAAGATTTCGTATGAATTTGGCCTTTTTCCGAGGCTTATTTCTTGGCCGTCTTCCGTCCAATTCTCGTGGGGGGGGGTCTTAAAATTTAGGGCGTCTCCTGTTCTACAAAACACACACCCTAGGCTATGCTCCCCTGTCGTGGTGGGGCCATCAGCACCGGGGAAACAACACCCTAAAAGGTCACTTCAACTACCGGTTTACGTATTCTGAAACCAGAAACGACCCCCCTTAAAAATAGGGAAAGAGCCGTATTTCTGGTTCCAGATCACGAGGGTCTCTTAAAAAGTATATCCTAGGTCGCTACTGTCGACCTAGGTTCACCATAAGGGGAGCTATGGGCCCCCAAAGTTTCGTGCAAAATTTTGTTGTAACTTTTTGACCAAAGTTTGTTTATGTGTTTTAAAAAGTTTATAACTTTATAATTAACTGTCCGATTTCTATGGGGTATGTACCGAACTTCGTGCCACTTATTTGTCCGTCTAGCACACACTGGTTTGGGCACGGGGGTGGTATTTACCCCTAAAAAGTCACCTTGGAAAAACTTTGTCTGTTACGAACTAATTTGCTAGTTTTTGGTCTGTAACTTTAACACTAATTTACTCACAGTTTTGAGATTTGTCAATCCGTGTCGTGCTTTGCGTCCCGCACGTCGCTGCACAATCCGATTTGTCCTACGGGACCGGGTCCGGGTAACCATGCGGTTGGGGTTCTCACGTGCTCCCGGAAAAAGTACTGTAACTTCGCCGGGAGTCGTCGTAGAAACCCTGGAGGGGGCTCAAAGGATGGGCCTCCCCGAGCCGCGCCCTCCCACAGGATGAACCACTAGGGTTTCCGATCACTTCAGTAGTTTTAATTGTTTTAAAATAGTCACTGAACTGTCACTAGTTTTTTGCTCTTAAAGTCCCTAAAAATGGTCCGTTTTCCACTCTGAAGGCACTGGTGTGTTCCTCACGTTACCCTGGATCTATCGGTATGTGTCACTATCACTAAATACGCGAATTCGGGGGGGTCACTATCACTATGAAAATCACTATTTGTCCTATAACTACGCTGTTTTTCGCCCTAAAATTATAAGAGGGGGCTCAAAAGGAGCGTCTCCCCGAGCCGCACCCTCCCACAGTTGCGAAAACACGAGTTGTCACTAATATTTTCGAGGAAAACACACTTTTGTCTTCTTGTCAAAAATTTTACGACACTTTTCTGGCTACAAAAACCAGAGTTTTGGTCGTATCGCGACGCGGTTTTTACTATCGCGTAGAGCTCGCGAAGGCGCTTCTCGCGATGTATAACACTATACACTTTTTAACACTTTTACCGTGTTCGCGATTTTTACAGTGCGGAGCGTGTCAAAAGCGTGACGCCGGCGGTCGCGGTTCGCTCGGGACAGGTTAGGTTTTTTTTTTTTTTTTTTTTTTTTTTTTTTTTTTTTTTTTTTTTTTTTTTTTTTTTTTTTTTTTACGTGGTGGAATGCATTTACGCACTTCGCTCCCCCCCCGCGGGGGCAGGGGGTTCACTTCGTGTGGGACTCCTGACGGGCCAGACTACCCACTAAACCACCACGGTGTTCCCCCCTTGCCTAATAAAGGGAAGGCCCCA